CCTTTTTCTTCTTGGCACCATCTTCTGGGTTGGCAGCTTACAAAACAACACGGTGCAGACCTTGCCTCCCCTGGCGAGTTCTGCACATTAATGTGCCTCTGCTGCGCAAGACAAGAATGCTGGGCAACTCCAAGTTCGAGAACACAACAGCGTTATGAGAGGGTCTGAGAGGATGCATTGTAGGTCTGAGAGGGTGCATTGTAGGTCTGAGAGGGTGCAAGAGGGTGCACAGGAGGTCTGAGAAGGTAAAAGAGGGTGTGCTAGATGTCCGAGAGGGTGCACAGGAGGTGCGAGAGGGTGCGAGAGGGTGTGCTGGAGGTCTGAGAGGGTGTGAGAGGGTGTGCTGGATGTCCGAGCGGGTGCATTGGAGGTCCCATCCTAGAATAGTTTTTGTTTAAATATGAAGAACGAGATTAAAAAATCATTGCGCACCTCAATGAGCAAGAAAGTGAGAGCAGTGAGTGATGTGGTCTTGGCAGAAATTTGTGATCGGACATGAAACAAAAGTAAGCGGCCCTGCAAAAAAAACGCACTCGCAGTCTACAGGGACTGCAGTTGGTGTTCTGTCAGTAAAGTCAGTAGACAGAGTCTGGCATCACTCACATCAGAAAGTGTGCCGCTTTGATTGTCGCAACTCTAAGCTAACCGGGCATGATGGTGTGATGAAGGAAAGAGGATGATGCAAGATAGTGCTAGACAGTACGAGAAGGCTGCAACTGCAAGAAAGTACAAGAGACGGGTCAGTTCAACTACAACAGCATGAGAGATGAGAACACTGACAACTTGAGTTCAAGAACACCACAGTGCACGAGACAAGAATGTTGCGCAACACTGAGTTTGTGAAGGGAGCCATGACGTTCAAATTGAGGTTAGTGAATCAACAAACTCACGTGCTCGAGAGACCAAGAACTTACTAGAACCGAAGTGCCTAAAGTCTCTAGAGCCCGGGGTTTCAGGAGGTCTGCGAGAGGGCTGTAGGAGGTCTGTGAGAGGGTTGTACGAGGTCTGCGAGAGGGTTACAGGAGATTTGCGAGAGGTTCAAGATGTATCGTACTAAACAGTGACCAATGAAATCACGAATAAAACTCTCACCCAGGACAACGAGCGCAAGAGCCAGCTATTCTACGAAACATTCTTTCGACCACCTCCCGAAGATGATTTCGTGGACCCAGACTACGCATATGACACCCCAATCTGCAACTTCCGTCCTATTACCAACCAGCAAATTCAACGGGCGATCGAAAGACTCGCCCCGCACAAAGCGCCAGGTCCAAATGGAATAAGTAACATAGTCTTCACAAAATGCACAGCCCTTCTCGTACCGTACCTCGGTCCCATTTTCCGCGCCACCTTTCAGCTCGACGTCTACCCAGACGAGTGGAAGCAGTCAGCAACTATAGTCCTATGAAAAACCAGGCCGCCCAGACTACTCCCTCCCCAAGGCGTACAGACCAATCACCCTTCTTGACTCAATGGCTAAGATCCTTTCATCCTGTGTAGCAGACGATCTAACGTATATCGCAGAACAACACAACCTCCTCCCGCCTACGCACTTCGGCGGCCGACCAGGCAGGTCAACAACGGACTCGCTACATCTTCTCACAAAGTTCGTCACGGACGCATGGGCTTCAAAGGACAGTTTTGTATCTATCCTCTTTCTGGACGTTAAAGCAGCATTTCCTAGCGTAATAGTCAACAAGCTTACTCCACAACCTCAAGAAAGCAAGGATACCGCAGGAGTACATCGACTGGTACCGCAGAAGACTGGCCAACCGCAAGACCACGCTATCCTTCGACGACTACAAATCAGCCCCTTGCGACGTGCAAAACGGCATAGACCAGGGCTGCCCACTCTCCCCCCTCACCTTCATCTTCTACAACACTGACCTCCTTAGAGTACCAAACCCCAAACCACGACAAGGAGAGATGGGCCTAGGCTTCATAGATGACATTGCGCTATTGGCACGCGCCAAGACATACGAAGAAGCAAACGACAAACTCAAGCACATGATGGAAAAGCCGAGGGGAGCCTTAGACTGGAGCCATGAACACAACGCCGAGTTTGAACTAGAGAAAAACCGCACTGATCTGCCTGTCAAGAAAACGCATAGCGGACGAGGCCAATCCCGGAAAGTCCAAACCTGTACCACGACCCTCAATCACGATAAGCAACCATACCATTCAACCCTAACGCCGTATACAATCTCCATCGTAGGGGTACAACCGGGTTTTTCTCACGCCCGTCGTCCCTGCTTTTGCTTCCTGCACACCAATTCAAGTTCGACATGCTTAGGGTTAGGGTTAGGGTCTCTCGCGCGCGCGCCCGATCCGCATTTTCAAGTCTTTTGTGTTTTTTTTTTTTTTTTTCCTGGCGCTGGCACGAAACAAATACACAAAAGCATTACACAACAGGCACACTGATCAGCACATGAATAAGTAATCAGTTAAAGCTCGACTCGATCAACAGCGCAAACAACTCTCAACGCATCAACATGTGAGCGTAGATATCAGTGCAGAGCAGGCGCAATGAAATTATGACACCGAAACAATGAGCGACATCAGGACACTAGAGAGAGGGCCGAGCTACATGCTTCAACATCATGCAAAAACGAGTGGAAGAGAACGTCGACCGGCAGGCCAGCAACGTAGAAGAAAAAGATAGGGCGCTGACAGACAATGGCCAGAGCGGAAGAGAGCTCATACCAACGGGACCAGAAAGTGGGGCAAGGAGAGGTTGGACTGGCCATGCCAGAAAGTGGAGCAGAGCAGAAAGATAGGTCGGACTGGCAGTGCCAGAAAAGCGGGGTAGGAGCAGCGAGCCAAAAGCGGGGCAGAGCGGAAAGAGAGGTCAGACTTGGCAGTGCCAGAAAAGTGGGTAGAGCGGCGAGCGGAAGGCAGCAAAAGAGGCCAGACTGGCAGTGCCAGAAAAGTGTGGGTAGAGCGGCGAGCGGAAAGCGGAAAGGAAGCGGGGCAGACCAGAAAAAGAGGTCAGACTGGCAGTGCCAGAAAAATGGGTAGAGTGGCGAGCGCAGGTAAGAGTTTGAGAACAAAGAGAAATTAGATTGGCTGTGCCAGAAAGCGGAGCAAGGAGAGAAGTTAGACTGGCTGGGCCAGAAAGTGTGGAAGGATAGGTTAGACTGGCTAGGCCAGAAAGTGGGTAGAGCGGCAAGGAGAGGTTAGACTGGCTGGGCCAGGAAGTGGGGAAGGAGAGGTTAGACTGGCTGGGCCAGAAAGTGGGGAAGGAGAGGTTAGACTGGCTGGGCCAGAAAGTGGGTAGAGCGGTGAGCGCAGGTAAAGAGTTTGAGAACAACTTTTAGACCGGTGAACCAAACGTGATTAAAAAAAAAGGTGGGAACTTTACTCGGAAATTTGGTCATGGCAAGGGACCGTTTTATCCCCTTGCCATGACGAAGCTGCCGAATACGCGCCTGACATCTTTAAAGCTCAATTCTGGCCTCGTCATGACCGGCATTCCAACTCCCTAGGGCTCACGATCGAAGATGGCAGATTTCTCAAAGATTTTCCGCAGCTCACATGCTTCGCGCCCGCTTCTTACAACTGATGCTCTTCCCGACACCCTATCTGAAGAAAAGCACAAGTCCTGGTGCTCTATGCTGCCCTTCCACAGAAGGAAGAAGACCCACCACGCATTCGTTTCATCTTCACCTCAGCTGCCTAGGAAGTTCACCAACGCTCCTCCAGCATCTGTCAGCAAAGAGTGAGTTTTTCTTCTGGTTTGGGTTGATCAACATGTTCGGTCAAGGATGATCTCTCGTTGATGAGACAAACGAGGGTAGGTTAGCGACATATGGTCTATTATGTTGTATATATGCTTATATATCGTACACGTCGGACAAAACATGGAAGCAAGGCATATAGTCATAGTCCTGGACTGTACATTCATTTTTTGCTAAAATCATTATTGCTTTTCTTGAAAGGCTGATCGCATATCACTGTAGGCTCTTGTCCGTTGCTTCAACTGCAGATGGACCCCCCATCTGACGAACGGCTCCCTTCTACCCTTCCGAGTCCTCCATTGAACGTGTCGCTGCCGTCTCTGGGCTCCAAATTCGCTGCCCATTTCTCTCCTGTGCAATTTTATATCAAAACTCTGAAGGCACGATGCTCTGCATCGTACAAGTCAAAGAACACCTCTACCACACGTTCATCCACCTCTCTCTCTCCCGCTGTAGCTGATTGCCGTGGTACTTCCCTGGAGTCCCGCAGCTCCAGCACTGTAAATAGCCGATCCACTCCACCAAAATCGCTTCTTCAACCCTCTGCAGAGAACACTCCTTACTATGAAATAATGGACGAGTTTTCTGATTTTTTTTACACTTCCTGAGCATCTTCCAAAGGCGACCAAGTCTGCTCAAAAGCTTCCACCTCGTCAGCCGTTACGAATAGCACGGAACCAACTACTTGCCCTCCTCCTTCTGCCCCCCTACCTTTGCCACTGCTCTCAGCTCGGTTGGCACCCAGGCCACCGAGAAGCTCGTCGCCAGACAGTGCTATGGGATAATTTGACATAACTTGCACGTCATGCTATTACTTTTCATTCGTTTATCTCGACATTCACTTACCGCGCACACATACAATAGTACAGCTATTCTTTATATCATCGCTAACACGGACAGGTATATAGTTCTCGCACCCGCGTCGTTCTACCTCAGTCTTTTGCACTTGGACTAGGTCATTCTTTTGTCTCTCGCAGTCTCTTGCTACTTCCACCCGTCGCTACTCATATCAAATCCATCTACCAACAGTGTTCCCTCCTGCTTGACTGTTCACTCCCCGGGTATAGCGTCACAACCGCGAACTAACACATCAATCGCTGGACAATAATGGGAGGTCATCCAATTTCTTTCACGTGTACGTATAGGGTACATGATACCAACAGCTATATCGAATGATTTGAAACCACGATCTGAGCATTCAATATTCAAAGCTGAATTATGTATTACGCCGGTGTGAGCCACCGGGTTCACATGATGTCGCAAGCGGTGTCAGGTCTGTTCACAATCAACTGCGGTTGCTCTTAACGTCTAGGACGACCAGCACAAACTTTTATTGAGATTTTTTCTATATCATGCAGTCTTTGCGCACACGTAGGCCCTCTGACACGCGCACTGTCAAATGTCAGGCCTCTAAACTCGAGAAGAAGCCTATCAATAAGAATGTTCGCAAGTCCACCGTCGATGACAAGATAAAGAAGCGTATGTCACTGCGCTATGCAGAGATATCTGCGCCCACCGAAGCTTCTGTCCCGGACGTGCCAAGCGTTCCAATTGGGCTGCGGCCAGGTGCAGTGAGGGACCCAGATGAGCTTGTCTTGGAACGTGCCAGTATCAGAGAGGACTTGAAGGCCATAGATCAGAGGTTGCTGGATAAGGAAGATTTCGATCCCGACACCTGTAGGTACCGTGCATTTGCAGTCTGGATATTCTTACGCGTTCGACATGCTATACAGACTTGAAGGCCAAACTGGCCAACTCAACCGAGGCGGAGCTCAGGTCTCTCCAGTCTTCACTCAGATCGTCCAAGGATGATACCGCTGTTGAACTACAGCGGAATGTATTTAAAAAGTATCTCCTAATGTTTCGCCCCGTCGACTTCGCTAACCCTGCTACAGCTATGCCGAGTTCGTACATATTTCCAAAGAAATTTCTGTCCTCGAGAACGAAGTGCTCTAGCTGAAAGAAAGCCTTTCTGAATGGAAGTCTATGCCGAGCCTTTTACACATTGATGAGTCCGCCTCTGCTTCGGAGCGGCGGCGCAACGTTCGTTCATCCATTGCGGACCTTCGCGTGCTCTAGGCGAATCAGATGCAGACACTGCATACCCAAATCGAGGGCTCCGCCAAATTTGTTCCAACAACGCCAGGCAGACATGTAATTTACGAAATGGACGGGATATATGCTCTCAATGCAGCAACCTACAGGGTCAGTAACATTGTCAAGTTCGTCGTGCTATATGATTCTGTGCTCGCAGAGAGATGTTGGCCTTTGAATGAGATGTTGGTGTTGGATAGGAAGAATACAGCAAGTAAGTGTGGTTTGGATTGCAGAGCATATACGATTATCTGATCAACCTGGCTAGCTATGACGAAGATTCGAATGTCTTTAAAGTTCGCCATCAAAAGGAGACATATGTTTACAGAACGGAGGCACCTTTTGATAAGAAGACTCTTCTTGGACAGTTCCGTCAGGTTGCCGAAGAACTTGCGATCCGCAAACGCAGGGAGTGTGAAGGCGAGCATGAGCGACGCAAGAGCATGTGGACCAGTGGAGATGTCAGCCTCTATGCCCTATTCAATTCATATTCGTTCGTCTGACATGTTATTATCAAGCAACGCGCTTCCATGACATTGCATCCTGATAAGATGCCGCCCCTTCCTGATTGGATGGCTGAGCTTGCCCGAAAGCGGGCGTTGACGGGGACACCAGCGCACGGGATAAATCCGAGAGCAATGCACGTTTCATCAGTGATTTTTCGGACGACCTCAGTCGCTATCGCTCTGCGATCCTGGGAACGGGCCGTTGAGCTAGTGGAAGAAGGTCGAGCTAAAGTTTCTTCCATACCGTCATTGAGCACCAAGCTCACTCCTCTCACGGCGAGCCTCACCTCAGCATTACTCGATGCACTCAGTGCGCCCGGGAACCGCAAGAATACTGCAGTAAGCCTCATTGGTCATTTATTAAAGCTTGGACAAGGTCCAGCTGCGAGGTCAACATTCTTAAACGCGCGAGCGGGGGCGGTGGACCAGTATGTCAGGGCCATCAGATTCGAAGGCCATGTCGGGATGTATGTGCACGATCTGGCTTCAGTCGTGTTTACCGGGATCAAGCATACAGCGGATTGGTTCCTCGCGGGCTTTGTAGAGCATGATATGACTAGCAGTCAGTGTTTCTTCGCATTTTCCATGCAATCCCCTTTACTGATTGGTACCAAGCTTTAATTGACTGGGCTAAAAAACAAATTGAGATGTATGCTGAGAGGTTCAGGAAGCAGGTTTATAGTTCCGATGCTGAACAGCAGACTGTCAAAGAAGCACTCAAAATCACACACAGTCAGAGTCGCAAGGTTTGTCCATTATCTTTCCTTCTCCCCGTTTGTGTAAACCATCCACCTACATACTATTCAGCTCCTACAAGAATTTGGGCTTGACTTCTGTTATCTCCTTGACGAGCTTCTGGTTCAGGACCCCCAGACCAACGACACCTGCGTTGTTTCTGCTACCTTCCATGCACCTTCCCTAGGGCCCTCCATCTCGGGCTCGCACACACCACAATCCATATCATCCTTCGCGTCTTCTTCCACGCCTCCCATACCTTCAATTCCATCTGCCCCTGACTCGCCCGCCCGCCCTACTACACGCTCTTCAATTCCTCTGCGCCCCAGTCGTGCAGATCCATGACTCCGATTGTTCGTCGAAATCTACGCAGGAGAGCCCGGCTCCTCCACCACGCTCGTCAGATCGTCCTGGGAGCACTAACAGACCACAAGTCGCCATTCCACAAAGGGAAGGGATGTTTTGACCGGTTATCCTATATCACTGGTTTTTGTTCAACTTCATTGACCGTTCTCAAGGATTTGTGGTGTGTATTCTACCGCCTGAGATGATAAGTACCAATGTATGCAAGTTCACCCTCCAGCGCTCTGCCACGGGTTAATACCGGGAATGGATGCGACCCGAACTCGAATGTCAATCTAGTGATCGCCTATGCCTTCCTCCCTCAGATACCGTTTGTCTCCTGCTCTAGAGTCTACATTAGTGTCCTGTAAATTTGGTGTATGCTAATTTACGGGTGCTAATCAGCAGTGCTAATTAGTGCTAATTTACTGTGTTAATCTGGGAGGCCCAAAATGCCCTGTTAATTAGGGTTAATCTGCTTGATATGTTGTATCGGCCGATCTGCTTGAAGCGTTCACCTGCCGGAATAAGAATGTTGCAATATTGTTCGATTTTTGAGGCAAGCCAACATCAAACACCAGCCGAGGGCCATCAATGGTTGACTGGGAGATACACAACAAACTTAGCTTACTTGCACTTTACCTCAAAAATCTCCCAGACACAATACCCTTGGTGCATGCTTCGGCTACACAGTATGGCTTTGACTTCTATGCTGCCGATGATGAAGATATCTTGGACATGGGCGAGATTGGCGCTCTGAATCGGGCATTCGAAATTCGACTGGGTCAGCGCAATAATGGGCCAATCATCTTCAAGGAGCGAGGTGTTGGTCTCGAAGGTGTTGTTGACGTGCTGAAGTCATACTTCGAGAAGCACGAGCATTCGAATGAGGTCGCATTACTTCACAAATGGCTGGATGATCTCATTACAGCCGCAGAGCATGCATACGCATCTGCAAAGGTCCCGGTAAGTACTAATCACAAAATAGGAGTAAAATTAAACTTATACCCATGATGAAATATAGTTTCCCAACCAGCAGCCTGATTCCGTCGTAGATGACTTCAGTGGTTGCGGCACGTCCAACTCCAAAAAGCCTGCCAAGATGGATAGCAAGATACTTGCTAATCATGAAGACCCTCGCTATGTGGACTTGTGAGACCCCAAAGACACCCGCAAGGGTGGTTTGAAGACTCACCCTCTGCTTCTTGAAGGCTCGATGCGATGCTACCTGTTGCAGAAGGGTCAACAAAAGCCACCAAGTCCAATTGCAACTACAAAGGTACCTACTGGAGCGAAGCAAGTTTTTCGTTGCATTGCTAGCAAGGGATGCAACACAACATGGGCAATGCCACGAAACAAAGAACAAATCCTGGATCACTTGTCAAAATGTAGCTGGCTTGATTCTGACCTGCGGAAAAGAGCATGTAGTGAGCTCGGGAAGAATGCAATTGGTCCTCCTGCACATATCCCATTGGCAGATGATGAGACTCGGAAGCCTACCACCGCTGATGAAGATGAGGAGCAACCCGAATCAAGGTCTCGTGCTTCACTGCAGAAGGGTGGGAAGCTCCCGGTCAAAATGTATATTGGAGAGGCGAAGAGAATCTTGAAGGAGAGTGGCGACTATGCAATCATGAAGTACCTTGTCTGTTGTGGAGTTCCACCAACAGTCGTTGATTCAGAAGAGTGGAAAGAACTGATAGCCGTTCTAAACCCAAACTACATTTCTCCCAGCTCTGCAACTCTTACCTCACGTCTAATAGTCGACAAGGCTGCTAAAATTAGCATGGCTATTGAACAATACCTTGGCACATCACCGAACTTGACGATCACATACGACGGAGGCAAAATAAGACGCCTGAAGTCTTTCTACTCTGTCCATGTCACAACTGCAGATCGGCGATGCTTTTGCATGACATTGGACGATGGTTCTCGTCTATCACACTCAGCAAATTACATAGTCGAGGCACTTGATCGTGTAAGTACTAGTGTTCTATTTCAATCTGGCCACAATTGATATACTGACGCTACTACACTATTAGGTTATCAAGAATATAGGGCCATGGAACTTCTGCGCAGCAACATCAGATAATACAGGTAACACAAAGAAGGCTCGGAGGCTACTTTGTGAGCGCTACCCCCCACATCATCAACCTTCAAGACGCATGCCATCTGCTTAACTTGGCCGTAAAGGATATTTGCTTGTTACCTGAGTTCGAGGATGTGAGTGGACGTCATTTTCATCTAAGGTTAACTTACACTTCTCTCTCCTTCTAGATCATCCAACAGATCCGGATGATATTGGCACATATGAGTCGCTCAAGCTATGCAATGGAGCATTATAATCACAAACGAATCACTCTTGGAATCTCCCGTGGGCTGGAAGCCATTGGTGACACTCGCTTCGGCACTATTTACTGGGCAGCACTATCAATACAACGTGGATTGCCAGCATTTCAGGCTGTCGTCGAAGATACTGATCTTGGTATTGACATTGCAGTAAGTGGTGCCTTTATTACAGTCTGCTTGACATAATGGTAATCTTGTTCCTTAGTCTCTTAACGATCTTTTCGTCCCAGGAGGTGCAAGATTGAACTTTGAACTGGAGCTCTCCAAGCTTCTTGCTGTTATTGGGCCTTGGGCCAAAGGCACAAGATGCCTGGAGGGTGCACATATCAAACCAAGTTTATTTGTATTTCTTGGCATCTTAGCTCAACATGAAGAAGACTTCCGCAAGAATGAGTTTCGACTTCGAAATAACACCATCGGGAGTATTCGTCGAATTGAGAATGCTAGATTTGACGAGCTCATCAACGAGACCCCTCAGATGCACGATGTTTACATAGCCTCATTTGTCCTAAACCCAAGTATGCTTTCATTGTACCGCACACGGACCTTACTCATAACATCATGCAGTGTTTCGTAATGCTCCTGTGTATAAACAAGCCAATCCACTCGTCATAGACCCCATCCTGATTAATTGAAGCAAGGACAACATCATCACATGTGCATCAAAACCTCCCCCTGATATGTCAAAGCGAGCTGCTCTCAGCATTCAAAAAATTCTGCAGCGGGAGTATAGTGATGTTTATGAGACAGGCAAACATACCGATCCAAAAGCTGAGATGCAACATCGTAACCCTGCACTTGCGCACTTGACTCCTGCAGAAGCGCTCACTTGTCTTCAGAGTCAGCTGAAAGCCTATTTCCGTGCTGAAGATCCGTTCAACCACAAGATGCGCTCAAATGAGAGCCCGCGGGATTACTGGCGAGCACTCCTGAAATCAGGAGATGAACTTGCTGACGTACTTCCGGTGAGTATGCTCCCATTGTTCCTTTATCACTGACTATATCCGTTATGGTGTAGATTATTGCAATCAAAATGTTCTCTGCGGTTCCTATTTCTATGGCAGACGAACACACTATGTCCACCATCACATGGTTGAACTCTCCTCGTCGCGCTAATCAAAACCTTGGGACACTTCAAGATCACATCAAAATTCGACAGTGGCATCGTTACAAACCTGAGGTATGTGTTTCTGGCTAGCACCTCAACCTCAAATCAGTGAATCACACTCGTACTATGCAGAATGCAAATCCCACCAAAAAAATTGCTTGTTCGATGGCGAGACATGGACGAAACTATTTTCCACAAGCGTACAGCTTCAGACATGGATATGTCTGAAGACCTTCCACTCCCTGGACTCCGTCCACCTCAACCAAGACCCTTCAACTCCAATCCACCCAACACGCTGATGATCCCAAATTTCCCGATGATGGTGCTGAATGGCTGAACGACGAGCGAGGACTGGCGAGCGAGTTTGAAAAAGTTGACAGCTCATATTTCTTGCTTGCAGGGGCAAATGTACATATCGAGTTGCGCTCTCCCTATCTCCGCGACTTTCCTGGACGAAACACCCCGAAACATGAATCCCCACGCCAAGGTGTTAACAACATCGTCCATTGTCGCGTCGTCGTCGTCGTCGTTAGAGGCAATTCCTGATGTAAAAGCCTGGGATGTATGGCCGTAGAACCACATTTACCCTAATTAAACCGTTAAACTCATCAAATCTACAAGGTAAATTAGCGCTAATTAGCAGACTTGCAAATTTACGCTAATCTACATAGGTTAATTTGACCTCCCAGACAGCCTTTGCTAATTAGCCCTGTTAATCTGGCCTCAGACCAGATTTACAGGACACTATTCAGTAGTTCACCTCATGTTTGCACGCTACTGGGCCTATTCAAAACTGTTCAAGAATGCGACCCAACGCGAAGCTGGTTGAAGCTAACGAGCTTTCAAATATTGTGGCCAGACCAGCTCTTCGTCATTTCAGAGCAAGATCGTGACCTTCAATTTGAAATTCATTTACGACGCAGGTGGACGCCGCTCCAATGTCATCAAAAGATAAGAATATGTGCTGGGATCGAATGGGGAGACATGCATGTAAAAAGGACATGGTGTACAGCGCACAGCCGTCTGGAGATATCAATATAGAGGTGGGACGCGCGCCCATACGCCCATCATCACTCTTCATCCTTGGTAGCATCCTGGTAAGATGAAAATCCATATGAGTATCACGCATGGACGAACTGACGGCCGGCTTAAGCAGGCAAAGTGCGGCACTTGAATGAGTTAGAGTTGAAAATCACTCAATATTAAGCATAGCCTTATAGGGCATGAGGAGAACTCACCAAACACATCCATTAATCGACATACTTGCCAACCTGTCTGGCGAATACAACCATTATGGCTTCCAGCTCGACACAGCCCATTCCAACGGCAAATAAATCGATTTTGACACCAGTCATGATCTTGGAGGGACATGAACCATATGCTCTTCCCTCTCTGGATGGTAGTCATCACGAGTACAAATCTATTTCATGCGTTTCCTATATTCCCGGTGGCAAGCGGATCGGGCGATAAGACTATTCGGCGATGGGACCTGCGGGAGCGTAAGGAGATTGAGGAGGCTCAGGCAGGTTTGTGAGAGTGGTATAACAGTAGCGGAGGTGTCAAGGGATGGTCGATGGGGTGTCGCTGCTGGTGATAGGAAGCTCAAAGGCAGTGATTTTATGACGGGGATTGTGAGAACATTTCATGAAGACCTTCAATGGATCGCTGGCATCGATATCTCCGTGGACAACATACTACTAGCGGGTGCGTCGACCGATAGGACAGTGCGAATATGGAACTTGGGCCCAGGAAAACTTGTGGATGGTCCATTCAAATGTAGTGATGATGCTTATCCTGGCGACCTAGCACTTCGATTCTCGAAAGACTCGGAAGCTGGCGGTATCCTAGCACGGAAATTGGCATATACTCCCGTTTCGGGGTCAATTGCTCCGGTCTTCTGGACAGCAAAAGACAAATTCGTAGCCCAATTCAGATTCACTATAGATGACTACCCAATGGCGATCTATGAGTTGACGCGTCCACGCTCAAGACTATCGGAACTCCTTTCAAAGGGCACACCAGTACCATCAGTGGTCTAGCACTCTCATCTGATTGTGTTCTTTTCGCCAGCTCTTCCTACGACACCATCAAGCTATGGACCTTCCAATCCCGCCAGTTTCTTGCCTCATTTGACGTCCAAAATACTCCATTCACCCTCGTCCTCCTCGCCCGATTCACGCCAATTGGCTTACACGCTTATGGATGACACCAAGATCTACATATGGAACATCCCAGCCAAACATTTTCGCTAGCATCGGGCTTGCAGAAGAACTGCAGCCTAGTGTATGTATTCCCCACATAGATCCATCATTGATATGCTAACATATCTTACAGACCAGTAAATCTGAACGTTCGCGCCACGCTGGTCTACCCAGACGTAAGTGGTCATACTCTCTCATTTATCCACTACACACTGTTCTTCATTACAGTCCGATGCAACACGTCTCTTTGCCTACAAGGGACCCACATGCTTTCCTTCACTTTCTACGCAAACTCCTTCCCTCCCATACGGACGCAGTCCGTCCTACTCACACTGACGAGGCTCGTGATCCTGTTTCTTATCTTCTCACTCGACTCGATGGTTGTCTTGCAGTTCCCTGCTACACCCCCCCCCCATCTCGACTTCGACCTTATCGTTCAAAAAGTTTCGGTTCAGTTCGTCGATCCTTCAAAAGAAATGCCGGTCGTTGGGCCTTATAACTTTTTCTACAAGTCATACATCTTCCGCAACTTTTGAGAATCTCGCTGATATTTCTGCCTGCAGGTTCATTTATAATAGCCTCGATGGTTCATTCACTGAAATACCCACAAGAAAGACTGTATCGCGGACAGGACGAGCTCCCGTACGATTACTGCCCCCGTGTGCTCATGGGTGAGGAGGGGGCGGATGCACTGTCCCCCACAAGATTCACCGTGGCGTTGCATGGAAGGGCGCTATGTATTATCTTCGTGACATTGTTATGATCAAGGCTGAGGAAGGACTGTGTCATATCGGCCAAATTACCCGCATTCACATTCAGCAGTCGGACGACAATGGTTGGGTTCGAGTAAGGATGTTTGGAAGAATTAACAAGTTGGGCCTCCGACCCTCGGAAGAGCTCAAGGATGAGGTGAGGGTACACAGCCCATGTACAATCTTCGCTTTGACCCAGGGTCCCAGCGCCATCTCTTTGTCACGCAAGATAAAATGAACTTCCCGATTTCCAGTATTATTGGAAAATGCCATGTCTACGTGCGAGCGGCTTGTGCCAGAGCTCAAAGAATGGCTCGAAAATGTCGCCCTATCACTTCTAAGGCTTGCTACTCCTTCCCGAGCCTCGTTGTGACCTCCTGGGATCACAAACACACACTTCTGCCTGAAGATCTCCTGGTGTGCGGATACTGTACTGCAGAGAACCTGGCTGAATGGAAGCAAAACCAAGAATTTTGGAGAAGCAAAAACCCCTTCGTGCTTTGGACCCGTTCGCCGGAGCCGGAGCTTTCGGGATGGGGTTGGAGGAATACGGCTGCATCGAAGTTACCCATGCGGTCGAAATTTTCTCCGAGCGCCGCAAAGACCTTGAAGTGTGCATTTTGCTCCTCATTTCAGCGATACTAACAAGGACTTGACAGAACCAACTTTCCTAAAACGGTGGTGTATAACCAATGCAGCAACCTAGTGCTCGCAGCAGCGATTAGATCATATACCAATCTCGAGGTTATGCCATTGGAGAAAATAGAAGTCGGATATCACAGAGGACCCCTACATCCCCCGCCCCGCCAAAACCTGAGGACATCAATTGTATCATTGCTGGGTTTCCCTGGTCAGTGATGTCGTACTTTTGTACTCTTTTTGATCATACTGATATTGCACCTCAGCCAGCCCCATTCGCGTCTGAACATGTTCGTCAAAGCAAATGACCGCAAGAGCAACCTTATCCTCAACGTCTTATCGTGGGTTGACTTTATACAGCCAAAATACTGCTTCTTTGAGACGTGCGCGGGTTCCTGCATGTCGTTCGGTCTAAAGGTACGACAAGACGGGCCGTATAGGGTTAAAGGGGGTACCCCCATGGGCGGATTGAAATTCTTGATCCGGGCAATGACTGACATGAAGTAAGTGTCGCTCAAGCATCAAGTATCTATCCAACATCATACTTCTCAGCTACCAAGTGTGCTATGGTATCCTACAAGCTGGTCACTACGGCACTCCTCAAACTCGTGTGCGGTTTTTCATGATCGCGGCAAAGTACGGTCATCCCCTTCCTCAGCTCCCTCAACCTACACA